TTATACAACATCAACACTCAGAGTAGGTACCAACCCTTGCCATGAGGCAGCGCCGGTTATTGTTTTTTTCTTCTTTTTTAACACTTGGTGAAATTTTACAAAATAGGACCTTCTATGAGAAATATATCAGGTTCAAATGACCTTGGCATGTGATACACTAATCCTAATAAAAGAAGTGTTCAGCCATGCTGTCGAGTCCTCCATTTCAGGTTTTCTTGCATTCCAGGTCACGGTTCACATTAATCCAATGGACTTTGGAGCAGCCCTTTTTCTTCAACGTGCAATTCTCTTAACAAAGGTGAATTCTTCTTCCTCYTGTCCCTTTATTACTACTGCTGTCYCCACATGACCCCTCCAYGGTGTTTAARTAGCGGRCAAAGGTGGTGTCTGTGTCTGTGATCACAGGTCTCCATTGTGAGGGTTCAAATCAGGGCAAACCACACAGGTGTACACGCACACTCCTGAGGGGTCATGTCTGTTTGGAAACAGCTTGTGCTTCACAAAAAAGGATGGTAACTCTTGAACAGGAAGACAACAATTAAATAATTGGAGTTAGCATAGAAAGGATTGTAAAGTGTCTATCCTTTAATATCTTTAAGAACAAATTATAAAACTTCCTGGGAGGGATGTCTTAAGTAAAGCCCTTAGGGGCAGGGAGGTGAACTAGATGACATCCTAAATTCTGTATTTCTGGAGCTGTGCCATCACTGTGCTTGTCCTTGCATGACTGTAAGCCAGCTAGCACAGACCCAGAGGTWGGATGGCAGAYGCCAGAGAGAGGAAATTTGAMATAATACMAAGTATGTGGGGAAGAAAGCRAACGCCTTCGGAGGAAGAGTTTCTSCTSCTCCTATTTATTTTTCTATGAAAATTTTTAATGTCTGAGGTTCACAAAAAACACYTAAAAGAAAAAGAAAAACTTACTGATCCACAATAGGAGCTACACAGCACAGAAACACAGGTAGTTTTACTTATTTAATTCATATTGAAATTTTTTATTTAAGTGTTGGATGGTAAATGCATTTCTATGAAGGAGAAGGTATCTTAAACTAAAAAATAGACTTTGAAGAACATAAAAACTTTCTGGCATTCTAACACTAAGGGTTAATGTGACTATACTGGGAAATATGCAGAGTAGGTGTGCTCATTTCTGAGGAAATCTTCTCACTGGCTATTTGTAAGAAGCGGCTAATGACAATGTCTTTGGCCTTGACCGTCTCCATCTTCCTTTCCCGTGATATCTGCATGCTGATTTGATCCACATTGGTCATGATCAGCTCCGAGGCCAGGATCTGGGTGGGGGATGCCCTGTTTGCTGTGCTGTCCATGATGTACTGTTTATACAGYTCCACCAGCTTCTGCTCCAGGTAATCGTTGAGGGCAGAGTCGGAGAGGGGCTGTTGGTGTGGTCCCAAACTCGCCAGCCTCCAGCACGAGGAGTGGCCCTGGACTGGCCTGCGGATGGTGTCACTGGAGGGGGGAGCCTTCACGGACTCCATGGCAGGAGGAATCTCTGAGGACTCCAAGAAGGGGCCAATGCCGCTGTCACAAGCGAAATCTGTYGTCATTGAGCTAATTGGCACCACGTAGTCTCCAGCTATATGCAAATCGTTGTAGTTCTTGCAAATGCTCTTGCAGGAAGGTGGAACCAGGTAGGTGACTTTTTTTGTCAGCTCTGGAGGCGGCTGCCCTGTGGGCATAGGGTGCTGGACAGGCTCTGGGAGATTGTCCTTCTGCCTTCTGCTGTGCTTGCTGCCTCTAGAGCAGACCGATGAAATGCCCTTGCCAACGGATCTGCATCTCTGAAGGAGGCTTTTTCCTTGTGCTTCATTTGTGGAAGAATAATTAATGGACCTCATTTCATACACCCCTTCATCAGGCAAACTCTTGCAGAGCACAGGATTCATGTCTTCACAAAGGTAGGTGATTCTATGAAGGTAACCTTCTGACAGCATCCTTCTCCAAAGGAAAGGAGCCACCAGCAGAAAAATGATAAGAAGAAAATTACACAAAGTTAATTTTCAATTCACTGGGCTGTGATTGACTGAGACTGACACTCTTCAGTCTGTTACTAGCTGCAGAGGAGTCTCCAATGTGAATGGGATTTTCTCTGCCTCAGTAGAGGACTTGAGTCAGTGAGTGAGGTGATCAGCCACCTTCCCTGTTGTGCTGAATTTTATCAAAGCATATTCTGTGTAACATAACACATGGCATGTGCAATGCATCCAATGGCAAGTGAGCTGTGGAGAGAGGGAAGGAAGACTTTTGTTGTGGAATATCTGCTGTAATAGTTTGCACTTAAATAMAACTAACTTTGCCCTGGAATTCAGCCAGGGGTTTCCCCCTTTTTCTCATATGCTTTGAAGCAACTTTTGTTGTGTATGGTTTGTCAGCTGCCTCTGARCTATGGTGATTTGAGATTCATATTGAGAGTATTACCACTTCTGTTCCAGTCTAATCAACAGCTGTAAGGTGGGGTCCCTTTTTCATTAAAAAATCTCAGACCATTAAATTTGCACTTTGCACTTCTGCATTGCAATCAGGATGGACTTAATCGTGTCTAAGTTTTAGACATGAAAATGTCAATGGAAAAACCAAAACTTTTTGGAGGCATGATTCATCTGGCCTGGTTTAGACATCTAAATCAAAACAAGATGAATTGTGCCCTAGATTTGCTTATCACTCTCCAGTTGCTATAAAAGGATCTTAAACTAGATCCTAGATGTAGATATCTGCAGGGTGCTTTTGAAGAGACAGATTTCAGTGCAATGCATAGGAAAGAGCACATTTCAGAAGTACTCCAGCACTTTCTTTCACTGTGGAATTAGGGGTAGCACAGCTCTGGAATCACTTTTCATTGCATTTCTGAAAAGGCACAATCAGATTCCAGCAGTCACTAACCCTCCCCAGTCCCTGAGCAGGCAGATCAGACCCAAAAGCTGCGCAGACATGTTAGTAATTAAAGACAGGGCTTGCTAGCAAGGACACACATGCACCTGCAAATCAGTAAATGTTCTGCCCAAGCTTTAGMAGTTTCACCATCACAAAAATTGCTTTATGGCCGCCTCTGTCTTTCTTTTCCCTACAGATGTTAAGGATACAATCAGTGGGAAAGGTGTCCTAAAGAAACGGTTTGGTTTTCTTCAAAGAGAAAGTAAATTTAAAGTAAAAATAAATTAAAATAATTTATGTAGTACAAATGATCTTTTCCAAGAGTGAAGGGACTCTCATTTCTTAGTAAAGGTTTTTATGTGTCACAGTTGCTAGTGCAAAATGCTGCACTAATAACTACKGGCTAAATCCTGCCTAAGCACAGAGATAGACTTTGCACAGATGTTAGGAAGGAGACATTGTGAGAAAATACTTTCCTTGAGGGGAGGGAATCACTTCCACACCATGGAGAAGAAGGTTGAAGGGAAAAATAATCTTTCTTCAAGCAGAAATATTAATGGGATTTAGATCAAACACTTGCCTTGGTGACCCTGGATTCCCGTTGTTGCTGCCAGTTGTGTGAGATTTCCCACAGGCAGTAACATTTAATTAAAAGTGACCTATTTAYACAAAAGGGGAAAAAATCATGTTTGGGGCTTGGCAGTCCTTGCAGTGTGCTGGTGTTCTCTTGCTTTAGGTCGTAGCTGTGATTAAGGTGCCCCCACAGAAATCTTAGCCAAATGCTAGAGCTGCTCAGGTTATCAACTCTCTCTCCTGCTTCTGTCCCCCCCTTTTGCAAAGGCTGTTCCCTTCCCCCAGCCATCCACGGCCCAGATGTCTTTATCACAAAATCATCACTAACTGTGGCTAGCTTGAATCTGGAACTGTCACACGTTAATTCATATGTTATTTTTAATGTGGATTCGGAGAAATGAGTGGAAATGTAACATATGACCTGTCCACTGCCCAGCCAACACAGGCAAAGGCCGTTGTGTTCAGGTAGCACGTGACACTTGGGTCTTTCCTGCTCCCCAGATGTGAGTTGTTTCTGCCATAAGGTGCTGCATGAGGGAAATGAAACTGTTGGTTTCATTTCTTTGCACTGCATTCTGCTGTGCTTATTTTAAGAGTGTTGGAGCACACTGTCTGAGACAGGAGTGCAAACAAAAGAACTGAAAAATTCAAAAGTGTTAGGGTCTCATTGTTCACAGGTTTGTGTGCTCTGCTGAATAAATTGAAAGCTTACCCTCTGAACCTGGCAAAGGCTACCACGTTATTCTGGCTATTCCCAGTTCCACAAGGAAATCTGAACTTTTGACAGGCAGCATTTAGAGCAGAAATACAAAAGGAGGTGCAGGTATCCGTGATGTCTCTTGTCCTAGCACTTAATCTGAAGTGTACCTCTGTCAAGTTATTATCCCATCACTCCAACAGTCATGCAATTGTGTCACCTTTAAATTTCGCATTCTAAATCCGATAAGGATTGCAGTTCTCATTATTTCTGCTTTCTCATGCCTCTTCTCTTAATCCCCTCTCCGTGCCACAGACACACATACACCAGGATTCCAAGGGCACAGAGATTACATCTAATGTCTTTCAATATTTGGGTTTCACACTTCTTAAATCCAGATGTCACATTCCTCTGCCTGAAAACAATTGTGTAACTTTTTTTTTGTTGCACAAGGGTTGCACAAGGAAAAGCAGTCCTTTTTACAATTGTGATTTGACACATTTTGCATGTGAGGTGAACAATGAGATTTTTCCTTGTGTAGCTGGTGCCCTGGCAGTACTTCATTCTGTCTTAGTGTAGTAGAGATATAGGGAGAAGACTGACTGATATGCACTGTCTTTTCTATCTGACACAGTCTTTATTACCATCAGATGGTCTTAGAACTCATATGTCTTGTCTGAGGTTTTTGCTCAATTCTTCTGCAGAAAAAAAACCAGAAGGCAGGATGAAAGTTTGAAGTCACATGGAGAATCCAGGAGCATTTCCAGTGTGTGGCAGCAAATTTGTTAAATTATAAAGCTTGTGCCAATGTTTGCATAAAGACCTCAGATTACAGTCCAAGAGCAGGAAAACAGAATGGGAGTTCTTGGTTCAAGATAACCAAAACACTTGCAGAAAGTCTGAGAAGTGTACAAAAAGAGATAGGATAAATTGTGTCCTGTTCAAAAACCTGAGCAAGAKGAAAAGTTGCTAGAGAGAACAGAAAGAACGTGGTGCCAGCTGGGATCACAGCTCTGTGGGGAAGGGGACGTRCTTCTTCATTGGTAAAAGGAGGGGATAGAAACTCRTAAAAGACACAAACTTGTTTTGGAYCTGTCTGGCTTTCAAATCCCTGAGCAGGGCTCTGAATGGCGTTAAAGTTGTGCTGCTGGGGATTGGAACTYGAGTCTTTTCACAGGGTATACCTTGAGTTGTAGCTGATTTGCTGGATGGGATCCCAGATGGCAGTCTCCCTGATTCAAAGGAACTTGGACCCTGTGGATCCATCTATAGTGTTTTTCCCTGTTTTAAGAGACATTTTCCAGGCTGTGCAGATACAGACAGAYGTGTGTGATCCACCTCAGATTTCCAGAGTCCTGGCAAGCAGGATAATCTGTAGAGCAAGCTTACAAGTACTGCAGGACCCATATCTCACCTTCCCCTGGGCTGGTGTGAAACAGTTCCCTCAGCATTGCCAGCATGGGGAAATCAGGATAGTGAAGAGGGTAGGAKGGGCTGTGCACATGGCTACCTCTCCTTAATGCCTGAATCCTACAGATCTTGGGTATCTGAACCTAGTTTGGCTTGGGTAAAGGTAATGACACCAAAATGTGTGGTGAGATGGACACATCCTACAGGGAGACCTGCACAGGCTGGAAAGGGGGGCAACCACAGCAGTATCAGGTTTAACAAAGGCAAGTGGCCACTGGGATGGCACAGGCAAAGAGCCCAGCACAGCACCTATGTGCTTGGGGAGCYTTGCTGAGAGGGAYCTGGGAGCACAAAAAGATGACCRTGAGCCAGCAAYGAGGAGAATCAGATCCTGGGCTGCWCCCACAGGGGCACGACTGGCTGAGATAGAGCCTGGATCATCCCACTCAGCTTTTGTCAGGCTGCCCCTGGAGCATACAGTTCTGGTGGCCAAAAGTTAAAAAAAGATGTGGACAGAGTGCAGAGGAACCAATGAAGTGCCAAGAAGATGATCAAAGGGCTAGAAAAGCTGCCTTGTGAGGAAAGTTGGAAGGAGTTGGSACTCTGGTCTCCCTGGAGAAAAGAAGACTGGGGGAAGGGGGGCAGCTCATATAGAATCCTGCTATTTGCAGCTGCAAAAGCTGCAAGAGGCTCTCTCTTTGCAAGAGCTGCTGGAGAAGACAAGTGGCAATGAGCACAAGTTGCATTGGAATAGAATCACRGAATCATTTAGGTTGGAAAAGGCCTCTAAGATCATTAAATGTAACCCAGGGCCACCGTGTTCCCTGCCATGTCCCCAGGTGCCCACATGTTTTTTGAATGCTCCCAGGGATAAGAGGGAACAGGTTTCATATCAATATGAGAAGGCAATATTTTAACAGTGARAACAATCAGTGACTGAAGCCACCTCCTCAGAGACAGGTTGGAACTCCCTTTGCTGAATGTTTTCAAGAGAGGATTGGACAAGGTTCTGTATAATCTCATCTGGGCTTCCATTCCTGTGAAAGGTTGGACCAGATGATATTTTGACGTCCTTTCCAACTTATGCTGCTGTCTGGCTATGATTCTACAATAGCAGTGGCTGCTGTTTGATGTASGAGGGGCTCACTTTTCCAACACAGAAGAGAAGATCAATAGCCAGGAGGTGGTTTTGCACAAGCAATCTGATTGCTGCCCACTACATGGGTCACTTCCTTTCCCTGCTGCAGCTGCCGCTGCTCTGGAAGATCTGGGACCTGCAGAGCTGCACCATGAGGCTCTTTCAGCAGTCACTATGAACCAAACCCCTCTTTGCCCTCCCCATAACTCTCTTCACTCTCATCTTTTGGTCTTCCCACAGTCCTGCTCACCTTCWTTGTCCACATGTCAAGATTTGAAGAGATGCACAAAAGCTCAGAGTACCTTTCCCCTGGGGGAATGTGCGCTGTTTTGAGGGGAGCAAGTAAGTTTTAGAGGATAATAATCCTGCACATCAAGGGTATGAGGGAATCTCCTGGAAGGACAGACTAAAGGAAGCAACAGAGGAGAGATATCTTCCCCAAGAAGTCTACTATGCTGTTGAATGCTTTTGTTATACCTGTGTACACCCATTTTTGATCACGCTAAATGGATGACAGTAAGTTTCAGGAGCATTTAGTTTCTTTCATTCACAAAAAAAAATACTTTTTCAGTGTATTTTTGAGTGCTGTTGTATCTTTGAATTTGGGAGGACATACTTTCATAAAAATACAATGAAAACTATATGATGGCAAAYATAGCTTCTTGAGCTCTCAAATATTTTCCCATATGAGTTTGTTTAATCAGTTCGAGTTCCTTGAAACTTTATACAGAAACTTTTTTACAGAAACAAGCCTGGTTTATAATTTTCCATACATTTCTTCATCATCTATACCTATACAAAGTTGGTTTAGGACTCCATCAATTTGGTTCAATAGCATTTTACATTTCATATCCACAGCTCTGTGCAACAGCATGAAATCTGAGGCAGGAAAGAATAAGGCWCCATGTTCATAAGGAAGACTTGACTTCATGATATTTCTACCCTGTGCTTTTATAATTTTCTTCCTGGGTTGGAAATCATTTCATATTTCCGGATGTCTGTGTTTATTTTAATGAGTTGTTAGTTGTTATGACCGAACTATGTGGACTACAGTATTTCGTATCTAAGCTTTTGAAGTAAAGGGGCAATAAATTCATGTGCACTCTTACAAAGGAGAACACACTTTCTAGAACTGAAAAAGATTAAACAGTAAAGCAAGAAAGACAGAAAAGGCTGAAGGTATTTTCCAGAAGGAGTGATGTAAATAGTCCACAAAAAAARCTTTGAAATGTTAGTCACATTTGTTGTAGAGCATAAAAAAGAGGAGAGAGGATGCTTGTTGTGCGTGTACATCCTTGTCAAGCTGTGAATTTTTGTCAAACTAGGAAATTCACTGAGAATTGGGAAAATTCAATGATAAAGTTTCTTTGTTTACGATTTTTAACATCACCATGTTTTCAGAGAAGTCTCATCTTTCTTTTCATGAACTTTTTTTAAATATGATACCCATATTCATCTATTTTGGTGCCTRTTTTAATTTATAATCTACAAATAGAGTACTCCACTTGGAGGAATTACTTAGGTAGTACAGCAACATACACAGAAAGTTCGATAATAATATCTTAGYTATGATAAAAGCAACATGGCTAGTAAGACACTTTCAAAATATTCTGGAAAACATGTTTAGTCTGATTTCATGAAAGTCTTTAGAAATATCAGAGGAAAATTTTATCTGTTTTCATTTTGAAGTCGCATTGCAACCACAGTTGGTCATGGTTATGAARATGGCACCTTAAAAATGCTTTCATCACTTCTTAAGGCAGCAGAACTGCTTGTGARCAGTGGCTGAGACTCTGCAAACACATGTGCATTCAAAACAGAAAAAACTCATCTTCATTTTACCAGCTACCAGCTGTGATCCCACACAAACAGAACCAAGCCATTTCGATAAGAAAAAACATATATATATATATGTGTATATATATATGTATATATATATGTATATATATACACATTTGTATAATGCACAGTATATTTTAGTTCTTACCTCAAAAGATACAGCAGCTTACCAGACACAGAAAAATTGATGTCTTCTAACTGGTTTGAAGCTTTCTGCGAGTCTGTCCTACCCCAAAATGCAACATACTGTTTTTATTTCCTTTTTAAGTGCACTTCTAAGATAACATCTGTTTTACTTCYAATCCTCTGTAACAAAGAAGTATAGAAAGAGAGTCCCTTAGGAGATAAGGGGGTTTTATAACTACTGAACTGCAACACACTGAACTTGCTTCCTCTTTTATGCCTAAATGAAACTTCATTGTGAAACTCTTTTTAACTCTGTTAAAATAGCTGATTGCAACACACAGTCCAGGCAGATGGACTGTTGTAAGAAAAAAAAACAAAAAAAAAACAACCCTGGTGAGTCAAATACCCAGAACAATCTTAGAGAAACAGTTCATCTGTTGGCAGCTCATGGTGAACCCCATTTCAGGCACTATCAATCATTCTCCCTTTAGCTGGCACAGTGAGATATCCTGACATGTCAAGATGATCATGCCAAACAAGCTGCAAGGGTGAGCTGCCAAAGCAGAACACATTGCAAAGCAGGACTACTTTGCTGTCTGCAGACCCTCATACATGTAATTTTCCAGCACAGCACAGCTGCTTTATCAGGTTTTGCTTTGTATTGGCAACATTTGTCAGGACAAAAGTTAGACCTAAAAGCTAGAGCTTGTCTGTTTTAGCACTCAATACAATATCCAGGCACGCAGTTGATCTTAGCAGGGGCAGTGGATGAAAATACCTGGGCAAGCAGAAATTCATCCTCCAAGCTTGAGGTGCACAGACAGTGCATATGGCTTTGAGATTGGTGCTGGAGTATTCCTGGAAGGGCAAAAGACAAATACTGTTTCAAACACATAACTGGGCTGTTTGGATTGATCCCAATAGGAATAGGAATGGAATAGATATGAGAGGAGAGGGAAAGCTTCCTATCTTAGGGACGTTTTCAGTCAGTCTCTTCGTCTGTAAATGTAGTTCAGATTGTCTAAGACCATGCCAATTTATTTTTGTCAGTGTAATTCACTGCAACAAGCCCAATGCATCAAGATGGTGCATCCCTATCTCCAAAAGACGAAAGAAAAACATTTCAAGTAAATTGCCTTCTTGCCTTCTTTACCACATTATTCTACTCACAGGGAATTTCCTTGAGAAAATTGCTTTAATTTTGATCCTAAGTAATTTTGATCCTTAGCTTTTTATTTCAGTTGGAAAGTTTATCTTCAAGACAAATGTGCCAGTTGTTTGCCCTCACTGTGCTTTGGTTGGCCTCTGCTTAACCTGAGCTCGTTTGGTCAAACAGTACAAAGGCAGCTGCCTGTCATTTGCAGGCAAAATGTATTGTAGACATACTAAATTGGGATCTTTTGATAGGACAATATTCCATAGTTCTTTTTTAAATTTAATGGTAGGAATAAGTAGATAAAATAAATTAATTTTCCCGTACATATACTCAAGCRGGTATGTACATAGTAAGTTCTCTCTGATTATCAAATAATTTTAGCTCTATTCTTATTTGGTATGTCTATACCTTTTACCAGAAGTTCAGAAATGAAAAAGGTTAAAGGTATCACCTTATTAGCTAGTTTATAAGTACTTTGTGCAATAGGACAAACGAGATATTTTTAAACATTTTGATCTTTGGAAGGCAAAATTTTATGGGAAGGAGATAAGCATGTTATCTAGCACTTCTCATACAAAACAATCATGAATGATTTATATACCTTACAGCAGCAAAATCAGATATAGTTCAAGCTTCCTGATATATRTGGAAGTTTAACTTGACTAGAGCTGAAAACTCTAGTTTTCAATGCATTAATTACACCAGTATAATCAATTATTTCAGTAAATCACAGTCTTTAAACAAGGAAGAACCTCCATCATACACAGTTTTCTTTCCTCTTCCTTCATTGCTGGTAAGAGAAAATAGATCAGTAGAATTTTCTAGGTAAAATATGAGGATTCCCATCTTCCAAATGAGTGCCAGGCAAGTCTGGTTTTGAGATATCTCAGGCCAAAGGGAGTCTCCTGGATTAATTACGCCATTGTTATGTGGAAAAAAGGTGATCATGACATYGTTCTCTTGGCCACGCACTTCCAAGGAGGAAAAAAAAAAACATGGATGCACAGAGAGCCCTGCCATTCTAGAAAAGGTGAGGGAATTTTGGTGTCCACCTGTAATTGCTGTTTCCAGCTGCCCATGGCCAGTGATTGCCCACACAGCAATGAGAAGTCTGCCTGTCCTTGGGACCCAGAGCTTTAACTGCAGGAAATCAGGGAGCACAGCACCTTCCATGGGGTTGTATCCATCAAGTTCTGCATCTAGAGTAGGATACTTCAAAATGAAGCAGTCATTTCATCACACAAAAGTGACCACTAAATCCTCYAGTTAACTAGAGGTATTTGTACTTCCGGTACCAATAGGGTAATAATAGTGAACATTTGCTGCTTTTCATGTTCCTTCCAGTCCATTAACTATAAAATTTATTCTTGTGTTAAATTTCTTTTCTCTTTTATGGATCACATAAATATTTAGTTATAGRCATCTCCACAGGTCCAGTCTATGTGAAAATCAAGGAAACAAAAGCAAGGTCTTTGATATGAGAAAATTATAAGAACGACCATTGCACCCTATGATAAGATCTTCAAGGTCAAGGGGAGTTTGCTTTGGGAAGAGATGACAGTATTGGACATAGCATATTGAAGCTGTCCTACATTACATTGTCAGCATTACTCTTTTCTAGTAATGAGTAGCCAATTAGTGAATCTTTTCTGTTCATGTTCTTTCCTTCTCTCACTAATTTACATGAACCAGGAGACTGATTTTGTCACAATTCAGAAGTCCTTCCCTGTAGTCTCAACCTCTCTTCATTCATAACCCCTTATTTACCTTTAGTGGTCAAACAGTTCTGCCCATATCCCTTTTATTCTGATGGTGATMAATAATGCACTGATGTATCCTGAACAAAGTACCTTATTGTACAAATGATCCCACCCATGGCAGAGACTATTCTGAGGTTTCCATGAATAACCACACATGGGCAGATAGGCCTTTAAGCACTGCAGAGCGTGAATCACGAGTGGCAAGCTGCCCTCTTTCTATAGTCAGTGTCTGTCCAGAACTCTTTTTTTATTCTTTAATCTATTTTTTTTTGTCTGCTAGCTAGTACCATGATATCTTTAAAAATGGATAGGTTTAAACCAACAAGCAAGAATATCTAAATGCCACCTACTTTTTAGCACCCTCAAAGAAAAACGTGCCTTAAAGTTGGTCCACAATGTGCAGATACATAGAAATATATTTACTGGAATCCTGATGCACACCACAGATACTGTGCACAGCTTGCTCTGTGCTGCTGACTGAAATACCCCAGGGTATGATGCATTTCAGTCAGCAGCAGAGAAAAGCCTGACTCTCAGCACACTGGAGAGAATGCAAACCACAACCACTCCTCAAGCAATGAAGCATATTCTTCCCCAGCTCACCACCCAGCTCACAAAAGGCGTTATAACCCTCATGTTTGCACCTTCCAGATAGTTTTAGTCTTCTGGGGTCTTTTTTTTAAGCTCCCCAGGATGTAGAYATCAGTTCTGATCCTTTAACAGAATTGTGTTGTGGTCTCATCATTCATTTAAAAGACGACTTTTAGAGAGGAATTCTAGCAATTAATTTTTTGGTTGGGGGGGGTGTGATTTTCGCTCAAGATGTATCATTCATCTATAAGTATTTAAATTTTCAAAATACATACATTTACACTGAAGATTTGGTGGTTTATCTCAGTTTTAGATTTATTTAATAATTGTCATATACTGTAAACTTCTTTAAATGCTTGAAATTCACATAAATAATTTCAGCAATATGATCTTTTTTTAAACGAACCTGAGTGTGCATAGCAAATAGGAGTGATCAAAATTAGTATTTCAGGTAGCAAACAAATAAAAYCCCTACCCCAGATCCCTGAATTCAAAGCACTCCTGCAGAATAAAAAAGTGCTTGAGTTCCTAACGATGTCAGATCGCTTCCTACCACAGGATTTCCCCAGGGATGTTTTACTGCATTTTTGGCTTCACAGGTCTGGAATAATTACTCACACATGGTCACATAATTAAGTAGAAGCTAATTGCATCCTACCTGTCACATAGAAAGGTGTACCATTGGATTGCTGATGAGACTAACCACTAGGCTGGAAGGAAAGGCAATATTTTTTGCTGCTTCCACCTTTTGTTGAAGGAGTCTTTTTACAGATGCAGTGTGTAAAGCAGAGATTCCAGTAGCCCACACCATCCTAGGAAGAGGGCAGCAGAGCTGAAGTATTTTTACCAATTTTGACAGAGCTTGACTTTCTTTTCACAAGAATCTTTTCTACTTTTTTTTTTTTGCCTCTGGGTGAGCTCATGATTCCCTTCTCAGCAGGTCTCCAGATCTAATACACTCTAAGCCTCAGCAAAACCCAGTTGATAAGAGAAGGAGCTTGTTCTTTCACCTGGCTGCACTTTGAGGACAAGGGAGACTCTTCATCTCTGCACGATGAGTGCAGTACAATATTTGCAGTTTTCTTCCTGACTTTTTGCCAGATTACCATTGTGGCTACACACGCTGTCTGGGATAAAACAGRATATTCCAAAGGAAGAACTGGTTAATTATAAAAGTTTCAAATGTCGTTTCCAGGAACAATGAAGATTGTCTGAAAGACTGCCTAGCTGTATAAAATCCTGTCATATGATACATACTCTAATTCCAATGCTTGCATTGAGTCTTTGTTAAAAATAAAYCATGCAGCCAGCTGCTAATGTACTTCTTGGTCCAGTGACAACACTCACTAGTGGTGAGGCTTTACCATCAGGCAAAGAGCTTTTATCTGTAAAGCAGGACTAAGCAATAGATGAGGGCTTTCTTTTTTAGTTTTTCACTGCATCTCTGTGTAACAGTAACATTGAAATCAGTCAGGCTACTAAGAAGGGATTTTTTTTGCTAGTGTGTCAAAATACCACAAAAAATTGCAGAAATCCGGAGGTATTACAAAGSTCTGGTTACTTTAGGAGTATTGGCACATGTCTAATTCTAGGTAGAGCCATCTTGTGATAATGGGGTGAATTTCATGTATTTTTGTTTCTCAAGTACTGGCTCTTAATTTGACTCTGATTTCTACATGACTCATTTTCTTTCTCTTTCATCTTTCCAGCAGTCAGCTTTTACAGCTATTCCAAATTCTGTGTCAGTAACATTTAT